AGAGAGAGAGAGAGAGAGAGAGAGAGAGAGAGAGAGAGAGAGAGAGAGAGAGAGAGAAATCCCAATGTATGAGAACCAGCCACGAGGTGCCACGAGGCAAGAGGAGGCAGTAGAGATCAGTGTTGCCGAGGGAGCTTCACCAGCAGGCGCATGAGCCTAGGCAACTCATGAAAAAGTATTTAATTGAGGGCAGCTTGTAGTTTCAGGGGGTTGAGTCCATAACCATCATGGCAGGGAGCATGGCAGCAGGCAGGCAGGCATGGCCCTGGAGCAGTAGCTGAGAGCTTACATCTGATCAGCAAGTTAGAGGCAGAGAAATGGAAACGGGAGTGAGTGTGACCTTGCTGGAGGAGGTGTGTCACTGCAGTTAGGCTTTGAGGTTTGAAAAGCCCATGCCATACCAACTAGAAACCAAATATTCAAATATGAGCCTATAGGGGCCATTCTCATTCAAACTACCATAAGGGGTTGGGACAAGTGACTTCTTCCAGCCAGAATGTACTGTGATTCTGAATTTATAACCTGACGATAGAGAGAGAAGAACTCTGGAAGGCGCTGTGTGGTTTCCATGCATTCCCAAAGCACCACCATCCAAGACCCTAAAAATGGAGAGCATTTGAAGACCTTCACCTTTGACCTGGCATATTGGTCTCACGACGGATATCAAAAGGACAAAGACGGCATCCTTATTCCATCTAATCCAAATAGTAAATTCGCAGGCCAGGTAAGTCGCTTGGAAACTTCAGTGGTAGATTTTGTGTTTTGTGTTTTCTTTTCTGATGCACTATAAACATTTCAGTATTGTCCACGCCAGAGCAGGGAGACAGCTTAGTTGGCAAAACACTTACTGTTGGAACATGAGGACCTGAGTTTGGATCCCCAGAAGCTATGTGAATGCCAAGCCTTGCTCCTCAGCTTACAGTGCTTTTGAGAGGAGAGACCTGGTGGGAGGAACTCCGGGAACTAGCATGTCCTTGAGGAGAATGTGGGGACCCCTGTCCTTCTCTCTCACTTTGCTTTCTAGCTTCAGGAGACAAGTCTCTGGAATACATTCCTGCCACCACAGACCCAGAGCAGTGGTGCTGAGCATGAATTGAAACCCTGAGCCCAAACCAATCTTTCCTCTATAAATGGTTATCTCGGGAGTTATAACGATGGAGCGCTGGCTAGCACCATGAAGTACAAGTGAAGGGGAATCTCTCCTCTGTGTACATAGAACAGTGGGTGGGAAGAAATGAGAAATGTAACTCAAAGATGTATCAGATGTTTTAGCATGCAGATAATAGCCACACTATATCCCAGTGTCTCGATTATTATCATGGTCCAGCCTTAATAATCTTCTTCCCAGGGGCCCAGAGAAGCTACAATCGGCGCGAATTATTTTCAGGAAAAGAATCTAAGTATACCGAGCTCTTTGTCCGTCTACTTTATTCCTCTGGGATAAAATTCCGTCTGCACAGCTTCAGTTCTTCTCCCATGCCTAGCTCCTTTCTTGCCTCATTTCTCTCTACCTTTATCTGCTGTCTCCTTTACGTTCTAAATTCTCTCATCTTATTTCTGCCCCATCTTGGTCTTTCTCCTCTTGTTCTTACCCATCTCGTTCTTCCCCATCTGGCTCTTCCTCATCTTCCATCTCATTCTTCTAGTTCTCCATCTAGTTCTCCAGTCAAAATCCTCAAAAAATCCTCTTAAGTCTCTGAGGTTTACAGCTATATACTCATGTAATAGCAGTGTTCTAGCTAAAGCAAGGTCACCAGGCTTGAATTCTTACAGGGTCATAAAGGCAGACAAGATTTTTCCTCAGGCAGTGACCGTCAGGCTTTCTTTTACAACCCAAAAGGGGAGTGGTAAAGGAGGAGGTCAACTAAGAGCTAAAATTGGTTGATATATCAGAAAAAGATAATTTATGTGCTCAGACTACAGTCCTAGAGGTGGTTAGGTAAATGTTAGGAGTCTATAATGTTAGTATAAATACCACTAAGGCTATATGAGAAAAGAGGGTCCGAGCTATTTTACCTTAATTCAAGAGAGCATTTGGCCTTGCATGCTTGGTAGGTATTTCAGATAAAATACACTGTTAGGAGTTCTTGGAAGCATACATAGCATACAGGGAAATCATTGCAGGACTCGGCTAATATATATACAAAAGCTAAAATGTCACCAAGACTTCTTAAGCCATGGCTTGACCTTCAGAAAAGTCCTTGACCTTTTGTGATAGGAGCTTTTGTGATAGGAGCTTTTGTGATAGGAGCTGGATTCCATACATTTTCCTGAGGCTTGCAGCACCTGTGAGAGACGACACCACTAAAAATGTTATGAGATGATTCTACTCTCTACCTAGTACTTGACTTAACAAAATTCTGGACTATTTGAAACTTTCAAATTATAAAAACTAAGGACAGGGGCCAGTGAGATGCCACCTGCACCACGCCCGATGACCTGGGTTCAATCCCTGGGACCAACATGGAGGAAGGAGAAAACCAAGTCCCACAGGTTGACCTCTGACCTCCACACATGTACTGTGGGAGGTGCACGCACTTCCACACACAAATGTGCACACGCACACAAAATAAAAAATGTAATTAAAAAATTGTAACTAAGAACAAGAACAACAAAAAATCTCTAAGATCCCAATAGTGTCAAGTATGAAGGAAGCAAAATTACTAAGCTTGGTAATCTCTCCTGAGGTTTCCCTAATAGCTGATAAACCACCGGGCTGGAAGACAGATGATGCTCAGGGGCTATGGCTGCTCTTGCAGAGGACCCGGGATTGGTTCCCAACACCTGTGTTGAATGGTTCACCATCACCTGTAACTCCAGCTCCAGGGCATCCAACACCCTGCTCTGGCTTCCCAGGGCACCTGCATACACTCACACACATACACACAAATAAAAAATAAACCTTAAAAAAAAGAGCTGCAGATATCTTCATTCAGCTACATTTTGAGTAAAAGTATAGGCACATTGTTCTTGAAAACTATAGGTCAAATTCCATTAATCCTAGAGACCACACAACCCTTATAGTACAATAATTCATTATTTCTGTTTTGTTTTGTTTTTTGATACAGTGTCTCTCTATGCAGCCCCGGCTAGCCTAGAACTTGTCTAGATCAGGCTGGCCCAAAACTCACAGAGATCCTCCTGCCTCTGCCTCCTGAGTGCCGGTATTGAAGGCGTGCGTTTTTTTACTCCTTTCTATGAGAAACAAGCAGTAATTTTTGTTGTTGTTTTCTGTTTTTTTTTTTTTTTTTTTTTT